CAAGTAGAGATACAGCAGCCACTGGTGAGTCCGATATTGCAAAGTTGACCGGAGTGCTATCGACTATTATTAAGACAGGCTCGGGAAATGCAAACCGGTACATTAACGAAAAAGTTTTACCTGATTTCGATCCGGGGAAAAAAGTTTTGTCAGCCACTGAGTGGTTGAACAGAGTTGATACGTATGCGTTCATGTATGAGTGGAACGATACTCATAAATTATATTTGGCACAATTAAAGTTGCAAGGTACTGCAAAGAAATGGTTTGACGGACTGCAATATCCACCTATGACATGGGAAGCGTTTCGAGTAGCTATTGTTAGACAGTTCTCAGGAGAAGAAAGTTTTGGCAAACTGTTTGAATTAGCGAATAATTACACGAATTCATCAGATCAAAATTTATTAGATTATAGTTTCGAGAAAGTAAAACGACTTAACAAGTTAAATTTAGACATTCCTGAACTGAAAATGGTAGATTTCGTGGTGCATGGAATACAGGATGATCACATACGCATGAATTTGAGAACAGCGAAAAATCGGTCGCTTCCCGAATTAAATCAATGTTTAGAAACTCTGACGATAGAGAAATTAAAAGAGACAAAAAACCCTAAAGAAACAAAAGATAGGAGAAAATATGTCGGGTATGACGTCTTAAAAAATAAAAATTCTCAGTTCCTTCGTGATAAGTGTTATCGTTGTGGTGAAAAAGGACATAAACAAATAAATTGTCCAAAATCAGAAGAGCACGAATCGGAAAGTCAGAAAAATAGTAGCGGAAAGGGTAAAGAAAATGTAGCTAAAACTGTAAATATTAAACTCTTAAAATGCGGATATTGTAAGAACCTGGGTCACGTTGAGAAAGACTGTTTCAAAAGAAAAAATAAAGAAATGAGAGAGAGTGAGAAGGGGAAAAATAGAGATGATAAGTCTGCATGACTAACCGCCGATGGGCCATCCGCGTTACGGTCGACACCCTCGTTATATGTATGTGAGGTCGGAATGGATACACCAAATAAACCGATTAAGCAATGCATGCT